AAAAAAAAAAAAAAAAATAATAATAATAATAATAATAATAATAATAATAATAATAATAATAATAATAAGTATGAAGGGTATAATTTATATAAAAATGAGGTTTTATTTTAAAAATTGCATCGTCATAAAGGCATTTATTGATGTTGTTAGGAAAAAAGAAAGAATAATTTGAAAAGTTTGAATGGTTAGATTGAATTTCAATCATTACAACTTTGATTGTTATTCAACTCTATCAAAGCCAAAGCATCTTTTCTATACATGCAAAGAAAAATTAATAGTCATTCTAGTTTTATCAACTATTTGCCATAAAAAAAAAAAAAAAAACTATTTGCCAAATAAATATCGTTTTAAATTTTTTGTACATATTTTTCCATTATTACCATCATTTAGCCAATAAATACATTATGTCTTTTCATATTCATTCTTCAATTTTTCTCAAAACATTCATCTCTATCTTCATTAAATAAGGTTACTATTGACAAAAAAAAAATATTATTAATTAGTGTGCAACTTCTCAAAACGATATATATTAAAAATAGAAAGTAAAAAAAAAAAAACATGAGCGAAAACCTGGATTGTCTTACCCGATATGGGTCTAAATAAGGTCCGTCGACCCATTTGTGATGCACGAACTCACTCACGATCTCATTCTCTCCTCACAGTATGCAAAAGAAAAGTTACTCGTTTTCAAAAAAAAAAAAAAAAAAAAAAAAAAAAAATCGACTTCATAATGTTATGATTAGTTGGACAATCTCATTAGCCTAGCACGTCATGTTGGTGGTGAAGTAGCTCTAATAAATTCATTTTTGAACTCTGTACCTGTTGTGAATGGGATCAGCTCCACTTGGAATTCTTCTCTTGCTTACAAAGTCTAGGCCGAGATTCGGGTGAAGCCCACGAGAAATTTTCTCGTTCGTGTTGGAATATCACTTGTGAGTGTCCCACATTGATTCTACAGGAAAAATGAGTCTAGTATATAAGCCTGGTGGGCTACTCCTCCCATCACCAATTGGTTTTGGGATGGAACCTCACTAAGGTGCATCTAGACTCACCCTCTTATGGTGTGCCTTCATCTGGTGAGACCGCACTCTCTTCCCTCGTTTCTAATAGTTCGCCATTGATGATGTCATAATAGTCTTCATTCTACTCTTCACGAAGAGTAACAAACATAGCAAGAAAAATGACAAAGCAGCAGCACTCATTTTCCATCTAGACTCTCATGCGATTGTTGGTCCAATCACGCTCTATACGTTAATTCAAAACGTGTTGAGCTTAAGTGGAAGATTTTCACGCTTCGGATGCTGACATGACGATAAAAATCTATACTTCGTGATGTTGTTTTTATACTATTTTTGCTCTAGAGTTAAGTTTGGTATTAGACATAAATAACTTTTATCATATATTTCTTAACTTAACACCCATGTTGTACACGGGTATTGTACTAGTCCAATTCTTAAAACAAAAGAAGATTATTATCATATTATGTGGGAAATGTAAAATCTTAAGCATTGTGTGGACTGTGTGAGTGTGTTTGGCTGAGGAGAGCAATTTTTATATGGCACTCATTTTCATATCAAGAGATACTCGACCATCCATGAGTAACTGTTAAAACAAGTTCACATTCCCAACATGTAAGAAGAAAGCCAATAATTGCATCGAAATTCAAAAGGGTATTATACAAACCGATTTTTTTCGTATTTCTATCATTTTCCGTAGAGAAAGCTCCATTCATTTTCGGATATTTGTCTCCATTTTGGTCAATGAGAACAAAAGCATGTTAACTATGCAAAAGCCTACGAGCAAAGTTTATCAGACGGGATAAATAGAAACAGAATTGACATGTATTTATAGGAGGATGAGGCATATTTTTTCTACTAAAATGAAATAAGGGCTAAAAAATAAAGGAAGGAAAGAAAGGCAGACACAGACTTTAGTAGCTTTGGTCGAGATCTAGCCGTTGAAGATTGAACTGTAATTGATCAAATTCATGTTTGGTACTCCATTTGTCAAATTCGAGTGCCATTGCTCGATCTGAAAGCATTGAAAAATCAATCAAGATGGTCAAGTTTTGAAAAGAACATTGAAAAAAAATTCATATATTCGAATTTGTTACACCGTCATAATACAAAAATTTGAATTTGTGACACCACCAAAATACAAAAAAATTCAACGAAATGACAAAAGGACAAGTTCCACGTACAATGATTAAAATTACAAAATTCGACTTTATTAGCACTGCAGGTAAACCGAAAATAATACCTGGAAAAACAAGGTGATTTTGCACGGCCAAAATAGATCTTCAGAAAATGAATACTTCAATCTTGACTGTCGTTTATGTTCGGTTCGGGTCATTTATTCAACAATGGTGGTCACTCCTCTAACTTACTCTTCTTTTGTGCCCACTTTGGTCCATATATTGCTAAATTCGTCCTCCCAAACCGCCTATCGGCTATCTGCATTAACCATCCAAAAAAAAAAAAACCCCGATTTTACGTATAAAGAAGTTTGCATAACAAAAACCTCCCAAGATAAAGAGCTAAAGCAAGTGTGTTGCATTATGTCTTAAAAATAGAACATTAACAAGAATATACTAAAAATATGATCTTGATCTATTTATTTATTTAATATTATTATAAAAAAAGCTTGATCATTTTATAAAATTACAAATACCCACTTGCATTTTCTTCACAAATATCCCCTTACTAAGGGTAAAAAAGGCACATTGTTTCTATCCTTTTTTTTTTTTTTTTTCCGGTAGATCAAGTTTCAAGGGTAGCCTTTGTATTTTCAAAAATATGTGAAGATACAAATGATGGCACGTTGAATATAATGTAAAGTTACATTACCTTTACCAAGCCCGCATATGATTCCAACAAGTCGGTTTTCAAAGGATATTCAATAACCTGGAGAAGTGAGTTTAACAAGTTATGTAATAGGACAAAAAATAAATGTGTGTGAGTAATTGTGTTATAAAGTTATAACCAAAATTTCAAATTCCAACTTACAATAAAGGTATCCTCCCCAACAACAGAAGATTTCGTAATTTGTTCCATGAGCACAGCATAGTCCACGAGCATATATGGAGGAGTTATACTTATATAATCAAATGCACAATCTTTACCTGCAGAAATCGAGTCCTACAAGTTAGAATAGAATTTTCACCATCCTCCCCTAGTAACTAAGTAAAAACTTTGCATAACTCGATTAAATTAGGCAAGCTTTCAAACAAAGAAACTAAGGGGATGCTTGGATATAATTTTTTTTTTTTTTCAATTGGATTTTTTGATTTGATATGGTTAATTTTGAAAAAAGTGGTATGGTTGGCTGTTAGTGGGACTTTGAGTTTATATCTGAATTATATTTAAAATAAAATAATTAAAGTTGATATGATGTAAAAGTAGGAAATATATGTGATGTGAAGTGATGGTTAGTTAAAATTATGTGAGTGGATGAATAGTGAATTCAGGTTGAGAATGATTGACTGATATTATTTAATTATACTGATAATATTGAGGATAATGGAGTTGAGTTAAAGATGAGTTAGATTTAAATTAAATTAAGTGATTGGTTAAAAATGGTTGAATATTTTTAGATAAATTTGTATCAAGCATTCCCTAAGGGTGTGATATCCCTACGGGTGTGATTGGATATAAATTCAATCAAAACTCAAATTTAATTCAACATCATTATTCTCAATATTATCCATATACTTAAATAATACAATCATCCTTACACATCAAATCAACTTTATTTCAATATTCATCCGCCCACAAAATTTTAAATAACGAACACTTAACATCATCTCTCTCCTACTTTATATCAAATCAATTTACTTTGTTTTATTTTAAATATTATTTTAATAAAAACTCAAACTCCCAATAACAACTAACTCTATCACCTTTTTCAAAATTAACTATTGTTTTCCAAAAAAACCGTTCAAAACCAAATCAAATACATATTCAATCACACCCTAAATGATTGTTCCACACATGAAATATATATTTTTTGAGTATTCCATAATTATGTATATAACCACTCACCTGCAAACCGTTCTGAATTTTCCAAGAAGGTCTCGACACGGGCAGTGTGTATAACTGATACATCAAGAAAACCAGTAGACTCCAAATTTGGCCGAAGCACTTCCGAGACAACCCAAGGATCCATCTCAACAAAGTGCGCCTAAAAAATCACAAATCAATCCAGAAAGCATTTCAAGAGAAAGAAAAAGACCCTTATGGGGAAATAAATTCATCTCGACCAATCTACTCTGGAGCTTACAGTATAATTATTCCAAAAAAAAAAAAATGATCAGTATAAACTCACCACAGAGCATCCTCTACTGATAGCTTCAATGCCAACAGAGCCTGTACCACTATACAAATCTAACCAGCGTCCCGGCCTCAGAAACTGAGGAGAACCACCAGCTGACTATTTTTTGGAAAAAAAAAATGAAACACTTTTAACAAACTGTATGATGTTTATTTTATTTTATTATTCACAGTGATTAAACTGCATTTTGAGTATCCGAAGAGTAACTGACCTGCAAAATCGAAAAAGCTGCTCCCTTTACAACTTGCATCATCGGCCGCACATCCAAGCCCTTTGGTGAGAGCAATTTTTTCCTCCGAGCGGTCCCTCCAAGAACCTGAACACATTTTGAATGTAGATTCATATATATATATATATATATATATACATATACATCAAGCAGATGTCTTATATCACAAAGTAACAAACATTTCTTGATTATACTCTTGAACAGGAAGTATAAATTCGGGGAAAAAAAGAAATTCATGATACCACACTGAAAGAACCAATTTCTCAAAACCAAATGAATGCTAAATGGCCTGTCATAAATTCATTGGTTTTCAGTTAACTAGCCATTGTATGCTACAAAGAAACTAAATATTACTGACATACTCAATATTAGAGCACCAAAAAGAAGATTAGAATAATGTCGAATTTTACGCAACTTAATGGACCAATGTATTAATCCAATTTCTCAAATAATAGCCTAGTAATTGGAGGTGTGAAGGAGCCAACCCGAACTCGGGCTTGAGCCTTTATCGAACCGAGCTGGGTAAATGAACTCGAGCTCGGCTCATTTCTCCCAATATTAACGAGCCAGGCTAAGGTTAAAAATTCAAAAAGTTACATAAAATCCCCTATACCCGAGCCTTAACGCGTCGAGATTAAACTAGCTTTAGCAATCAAACCTGCAGATAAATAAGCAAACAGGAAGAAAAATACTAATAAATCAACACAAACCTGCATTAATTTGTGAGTCTCCCTCTCAGGCTGAGGCTTTTCTGGAGGTGTTCGGCTTCTCGTTCCTTTATTCCCCTGCTCCTTTCTTCTTTTTGTCTATTATTCATAAATAAAACCCATTAAATTCTAAACAAAATGTAACCAAAAAAAAAATCACACCCGCAAAAAAAATTAAAATAAAAATGAAAATGGACAAAAAAAGGAGCGACCTTTGATGAGGGTTCAGATAAGAACTCGTCGGGATTGAGACCGTACTGCTCAAGAATCTCTCTCTGCTTATCGTTCTCGACAGCCCCTTTCATGGGCTCTGATACATTACCAAAACAGAGCTTAAAAGACAACATTTTTCGGGTTCAATTAGGACATAAACGAAAATTACAAAGATTTTGCAGCGACTTACTGTAAGATAAGGTGATAACTGAAGAATGGAGACGAGGTTTGCAGGTGGGCTTGGAGGGATAAAATTGTAAACATGAATTGGGACAGAGAAAATCACTTGTTGTTGCAGGGTTCAAGATACATGGTGATGGTAGCATCGCCATTTTTAACCTGGTTCTGTGCTTAGCTGCTGAATGATGGTGCCAAAAGCTGAGCTGAGAGGTGAAGACATATCTGGGCTTATCTGGGCCTGCTCGTTAGATTGATGTTATTGGGCTATGGCCCAAAACTATTCTTTGTCGTGTACTTGGACCAAAACTATACAAGAGAGACTTCTACAGTTGCTCCTACTTGTATGTTAGATTGATGTTATATGCAAAATAAATTATTAGATTGATGTTATATGCAAAATAAAATATTAGAGTGACTCTACTTGTAATTTAAGCACAATCTATTAAATTTTGACAATTCAAGACACAACTTCTCAATTTTTACAAATTGAGGCACAAACAGAAAGTAGAGAACTTCAACCGTTGCTCCTACTTTCTTCATACTAAATGAAAAAAAAAAAAAAAAAACACAAGCAAAATCGTTATCTACTATATATTGTCACCGTAAGTTACACAAGTCAAAAGTTTAAACAAGTTCGATATTAATTTCTCGAGTAATCTCACCAATTGAGACAATAAAACTTAAATTGAAATTGTGGCTCTGAAATTCGACGCAACTATCATGTATGGAGCCAGACCCCACCATATGGAAAATCCAAACAAGACAGGATTATAAGTCACACAGACACAACTCGTATTTAAAATAAATATTAAAGACATCATTCAGCGATCACGAAATATAAATTCATGACTCGATTTGCAAGATTACAATATCGTGCCTCGAATTATAATTTATATATATATATATATATAAAGTGCTTAAATTGCAAGTAAAATATAGATGTTAGATTTGTGTTTGCAATCTTGCCTTTAAAATATTAAAAGTTAATGAAGACGCGTATTTAACAAAGAGATTAAACTAATGAACATCACTAACATTGACTTGCTAATTAATTAATTAGACAAAGCTTAACACAAGTGTGGCACAAACAATAAACCTAAATTTTTGTTATATATCTCAATATTCTAATGGCCGAACCTTAACAAAATCTGGTACGTGACAAAGGATCATCCGACCAGAAAATGATGTGCAATTTGCCAACTGTAAAAGTCAACATCCATTTACATTTTTCTGTTGACCAATTACTCATTTAATAATTTCCATCACTTTTTTCTTTTTTATTTGTCGTTTTTTATTTTTCCTTGACTTAATTGCACGTAAAATCCCTACCTTTTGTATAATATATATATATATATATATATATATAATTAGGGACAAACTTTATTTAATTTTATTCAACTTCAATTAATAATAATATGGCCATTTAATAAATATAAGTTGCATTTAATACAAATATGTTCACCATTTAATAATAATATGTAACTTTCAGTTACACAATTTATTTTGACATGTCACATTTTGGATGGTCTCCATTATTGTAATGCATTTTTATATCATGGAATACAAAATATTTTTGTTTTTATTTTTAACGATAAGGATTTGTTGTGATAAGGACACGTTAATAAAATTACGATTGATTTATATAAAGAATTGTTTAATAATATTGATATATGATATTATACTACACCCGATTTAATGGAGAAAACAAGCATATATTGGAAGACGAGCCCACGTATGGATGAAGCACTACGATATGGGCCAAGCCCAACTTGAGCCCATTAAGTTATGTTTTCTTTATTTTATTCTATATTTTTAATTATTTTCTCTTCTATTATATTATTTTTCGTGCAAATGCATGTGGTAAAACTAGTTTCAAATAAAACTCAATTTTTTTTATCTTTGTCAATAAATAACAAACATTTATTATGTGTTGTAAGTTTATTTCAAAACTATTTTTGACCATATCTTGCTGACATATTCGATCAGAACACTAAAATCGCCTAAAAATCACTCGAAAATCGCTCTTTGTGCCCAATTTTTCAGAATTTGTGGGTGAGCGCGTAAATGTATTCAAAATGTTCGGAGTAAACTCAATTTTTAGGGGTGAAGAATCGCGCAATGGAGAAGAGAAAAATCATTACATTTTTTTTTTTCAATTGAAGGAGAAGAACTCGATTTTTATGAAGATTATGAAGCAAATTGGTACTGAACTCTAATTCCGGTTATTTTGTTAGGATATAATGCGGCAAAAATATGGTGAAGATGTCCCATTATAATTTTCCGATCACTTTACTCAGTCTAATTCTTTTCTCTTTTAATTTATTGAACTCGAGTAGAAAATTCAATGAAGTTGAGCCATGGCACCTACATGTGTTTGGCACCCATTTTCCATTTAATATTTATTTATTTATTGATAGTCAATTATGGTATTTGGAGTTTTGCCCGATTAATATGTTAGTCGACTCGAGTCGTACACATGACAATGATAAATGAGTCTCTCAACAAGATTTTTCTGAATTCAGAATGTCTCAAACTCGAGATCTTGTTTAATCGATATTAAGCTGCTTTTGCTTCATTTAATATTTATCGAGTAATATTTACACTGTGATCTACATACGAATATCCATCCATCCCATGGTTATATTACTCTCACACTGTATCTGAGTTTCCCCTAATTCTTGATAAGAATATTTTCAGATCGTTCTTGATCTGAAAATGGGGGTTTGTGGGTCAAAGCCCAAAGGGTGTGTGGGGATGAAAGGGAAGCTGAATTTGCAGAGAAAACGCAGGAATAAGCATAGAACAAGGAGGATCAAAAAGGCCCATTCTTCAGTTAGCAAAAACCGGGTCGAACCATCTGACCCGAAAGATCGATCTTTCAACAATCCTGCGTATCAAGGTTCCATTTTTTTTTTTGTTCTCAGCTCTGATTTGTGATTTTGGTTGTATTTTTTGCTGGGCTTGTACTTGCTGAAGGAGCTGTTGTACTTGAGAAAAATGGGTTTTTTTTAGCTGGGCTTACGTTTTCTTCTTTGGACAGCTGAAAATTAGGGATTTTTTTAATGATCTTTTGTGCTTTACTTTGTTTGCGTTCATATGTTGTTTGTTTGCACCTAGGAGAATAATGGGGGCTTTATTTATGAATTTGGACACTGGTTTATACTTGTCAAAGCAATTTTCTGCTATTGCTGAAATTTTTTTTCATCGAAAAGTGACATCTTGGTTGATTTCTAATTCTCTTATCAGGAAATAGCGATTCGTGGTTCGATACTGATGGTGTGATTGAATCAGATGGAGATGATGAATTCTACAGTATTCAAGATGGTACATTGTCTCCTTTCATATATATATATATAGAAAAAATGCTTTAAAGTTCTCGCATTCTCGATTTTATGATTATCACCACATCCTTATACATACGGCATTCTTGAAAAAAAAATAATAATAATAATAATTGCAGATATTTCTCAAGCTGGATCCTTATCAAATATCATCACTCCGAGATTCGCAAACCAAGTGCCGTGTAATAACAACATTGATCCTCAGCCGATTTGTGATGATCCTCAAACTGAGGTGAAAAATCCAGCTTTATTAGACAAATCCTCGGCTCAAGTTGAGGGTGAAACTAATAATTGTGGTTTCATATCAAATGCCTTGCTCCCTTGTATTGCTTGTGACGAGTCTTTGGAAGGAAAAAGGAAATCGGCTCTTTCAGGAGGTTCGAGCTCAAGAAAAAGATTATCTCTTGTTGCCTCTTTCAGATGGAAGGACGGGCAAGAAAATCCAATTTTATGTAAGTTAGTTGTTTGTATCTTTTTATTCTATTATTAGATTCTATTGTGTGGTACTAGCTAATAACGTAGTTGATAGCTGATAAGCTAACTGATAGCTTATAAGTGATTTTCGAGCTTATATCATATAGCTTATGACTCATAACTTAAAAACTAGCTTACATGATAAAAATGTTTGGTAAAATTAGTTGCTGGAATAAAAAAGTCAACGAGCCTATTTGAAACTACCGAAAGAAGCTTATCAGATAAGCTCGACTTTCCAAACTTTTCTTCCAAATTTGCTTCTTTTGAGAGAAAAAGGTTTTTTTTCTTTCGACTTTTTTAAAAAATCTCGTCCTACCAAACGAAGATTATTTAAATACAGAAAGCTTATAAGCTAACCAGACATAGCTGTAGTAGAACTCAGAAGTGAATGTAAAATTGGTAACTTGTGCTAATATAAGCTAAAAAATCTTGGGTATAGGAAAAGGAAGTGCTTGGTAAATTAGTTGAAGAATTGATTGTTTGTATGTAAGTGTTAAACCAAAAATGTGGTAAAAAATCTAAAGCAAACCCATCTTATCTGTTTTAGATTTAGTTTAATTATCAAGAATCGGGAAGAAGCAATGACTTATCATCACTTTTTTTTTTTTTTTTTGGTTTTGTTTACTTTAGCAATGGCAACACCCATTATACAAAGACCAATAGCTGGTTCTCAGGTTTTGTGTTCTCCATTAGAGAAGAAAACGTCCGAAAGTTGGTCGCGAATCGAGCCAAGCAACTTCAAAGTCCGTGGGCTAAACTATACCAAGTGAGCTTTTTTCGATTTCTCCTTGCTCAGTTAATTCCCTTTGGGGCATGAGTTAAGCAATTCGTTATTATTTATATGATACAAAAAACTTAATGTTCAATTGGCTCCTATGTGTTTTGGCAGAGATAAAAAGAAAGAATTTGCTCCAAATATATCTGCATATATCCCTTTTGGAGTGGACGTATTTTTATCCTCAAGAAAAATCACTCATGTCGCTCGACATGTGGAATTGCCTGCCATCTATTCAGACAAAGAAATTCCTCCTGTTCTTATTGTAAATCTTCAGGTATGTTTTTATTTTATTTTATTTTTTTCCATCTGATGGCCAAATAATCGCACGCCTTGTGAAAATATTGATGTTATTAAACAAAGAAAGCATTGTCAAACACATTTAGCAATAATACTAAGCAGATTATCTGATTTCATTTCATGGTTTGTTATACATTTAAATTTCAGATTATGATTCTTTTTTTTTTTTTTTTTTTCTGAAAGAAACTGATTTTGCCTCCTTATCACTAATTCAGATTCCACTTTATCCTGCTGCAATCTTCCAAAACGAATATGACGGGCCGGGAATGAGTTTGGTTTTCTACTTTAAGGTGTCAGAAAATTATTCGAAACTTCCTGTTCATTTTCGAGAAAATATAAAGGTAAGGAGAGTTGATTAGTTATCGGTTTGCATATTATGCAACTGCTGTTTTACTTTTACTCTGAAGACACTGAACAATTTTTCTGTGGTTCATTTTCGAAACAGAGGATAATTGCAAATGAAACAGAGACAATCAAAGGTTTCCCCATGGACACAAATGCACCCTACCGAGAAAGATTAAAGATATTGGGCCGAGTGGTCAACTTTGAGGATCTTCAGTTAAGTTCGGCTGAGAGGAAGCTTATGCATGCTTACAATGAAAAACCAGTTCTTACACGTCCACAGCATGAATTTTACTCGGTAAAACTAGTTTTATTTTTCATTCTTTTTTGGGTGAATTTTGGATTCTGTGTTCTTGATAGATCTTTTCACTGTCAGCTTATTAAAACAGGCAAAGTGGTTTAAGTTTGTAAGGTTTGCTGAAGGTCCAAAATTTTTGCAGGGAGAAAATTACTTTGAAATCGACTTGGATATACACAGATTCAGTTACATTGCGCGAAAAGGATTCGAAACATTTCAGGACAGAATCAAGAACTGCGTGTTCGATTTTGGCCTGACAATTCAGGTAAAAAATATCTAATAATAATTCCTAATCAAAGCTAAATTTTACCCAAAAAAAAAAAAAGAAATAAACAAATGAAAACAAAGCAGGGGAACAAAGCGGAAGATTTGCCCGAGTGCATGTTGTGCTGTTTACGGTTAAAGGAAATCGACTATACAAAATATTGCCAACTTAGTTTCTGAAGAAAGGGGGAAAAAAATTTACGGTATGCCTCAAGAACGCAACAGTAAAATTTCCCCACGCCTCGTGGGTTTTACTGATTGATTATTCTTCCCTGATATCTGAGTGTATAGATGCTCAAAATTTCATCTTGTATCAAAATTTATATAGAAATTTCATTTTTTTTTTTAATTTTTTTTATGTGGGTTTGTTGTATAACACCCTTTTCATATCAAGATTGGATTTTTTTAGCTTTTCTCATTGTTGTATACCATTAAAGATTTCCAGGTCTGATATATAACACAGCATTCTCTGTTCTTTATCATAAATAATCCCACAATATGGAACTCAATGTATTAATTACCATTATCCATTTGAGAGAGAGAGAGAGAGAGAGAGAGAGAGAGAGAGAGAGAGAGAGAAGTAAAAACTACCACCTTAGAAAACATAAACAGGAAAAAAAAAAGAAGAATCTTCCTAAGAGGCAGATGATCTAATGCAGCATCCAAAAATGGAAACAAAACCACACCTTTGAATCTTGGATTCCGATGAAGAACCGGAAGGTTCCGGAAGAGCAACGGAATGTGGCTTTGGCACGTCCGAGGTTGGAATCGGATGGTAACTGAAATCCTTGGATTTGTCCGAAGATTTTATGTCGTGAATAGGAATCTTGTTGTCTCCCCATATGAGGCCAGACGAGCCCTGCCGCCTGAACGAATACGATGATCTTTGCAGTGTGCTCATTTTTCAATGAAAGTTTAATGAAGAAGATGATGAATTGATGATGTTTAATTGTCTATATATGCTTTTACATTTCTTTTATTCTGTTTTCCTCTTCTTCTGTTTTTCCTCCTCTATTTTTGGGTCTCTCTTTTAGCAACTAACATGAGGTTATTTGACTAAGTTTGTGTTTGGTTAATCCATTATTATTATTATTATTATTATTATTATTATTATTATTATTATTATTATTATTATTATTATTATTATTATTATTATTATTATTTGTATTTGGGGAAGATTCTATGGTCCCGTTTCGGAATCATTCCGTCCGGGTTTGTAACCGTTAGATCAACTATCCACGACGGTTATAAGATGATATTATTATTATTATTATTATTATTATTATTATTATTATTATTATTATTATTATTATTATTTGGGGAAGATTCTATGGTCCCGTTTCGGAATCATTTCGTCCGAATTTGTAACCGTTAGATCAACTATCCACGACGGTTGTAGGATGATATTATTATTATTATTATTATTTGGGGAAGATTCTATGGTCCCGTTTCGGAATCATTCCGTCCGGGTTTGTAACTGTTAGATCAACTATCCACAACGGTTATATGATGATCTACCGGATACAAATCTCGACGGAATGGTTCCGTAACAGGACTAAATCCCAACGGAATGATTCCGTAACAGGACTATAGCATTTCTCTGTATTTGGTCATGACTATGGCTATAAACAAGCTGAGTTAAAGCCGATCTCGAACTTTAACGAGCCAAACTATAGAAAATTATATAAAAATAAAAAATTCTTTTCGAGCCTTATCAAGCCGCCAAGCCGAATCGAGCCTTAACAAGCGGAGCCGAGCCCAAGTAAGCGAACCAAAAATTGAGTTCAAGCTCGACTCGTTTATCAATATTAATGAACCAATCTCGAGATTTAACTAACGAAACTATGAAAAAATATATAAAAAATATTTTTTCGACCCTTATCAAGCCGAGCCATGCCGAACTCGAGCCTTAAGAAGCTGAGCCGAGCTCAAGTAAAAAAGCTAAAAAACAAACTCAAGCTCAGTTCTTTTGTCAATATTAACGAGCCGAGTTCTAGCTTTAACGAGTCGAACTATAAAAAATTATCTAAAAATTCTCTTTTCGAGCCTTACCAAACCGAGTCGGGCCAAACTCGAGCCGAGATCACGAGCGGCTCGTTCCGTTTAATAGCTATAGCCATGGGTTATCTCTCTCTCAGCCACAAAGGGTATGTTTGGTAAGCCAAATAAGCTAGCTTATAGCTTATTTGATTAGCTTATAAGCTCCCTGTTTAAAATAAGACTCGTTTGGTAGGACGAGTTTTTTTAAAAAACTCGAGCTTATTTCATAAGCTACTTTAGGTAGCTTTTCAAATAAGCTAGTTGAATTTTTTATTTCAGCTAGCTTATCAGCTAATTTACCAAACATCTTTTATCATATAAGCTAGCTTTTCAGCTATAAGTCATAAGCTATAAGCTCAAAAATTACATATAAGTTATAAGCTAGCTTATCAGCTATCAGCTAACTTATCAGCTAGTTTTACCAAACATAGCCAAAGACACGGTAAAACAGCCTTACACATTAAAATTCCATGTAATCATTTTACAACATCAACTTTCAATGCAGGAGAATACGTTCAGACAGTAGATCACATTTTTATTCAAACACAAATCTCACAACTTCTCTTTTTCTCTTTCAAAACCGAAAAACCTAAAACTAAAACTAAAAAAAAAAATGTACATAACAACTAAGACGAGCACGCTTTGCAGCTCTTCCTACAATAGCCTGCAGCTCCATTCGAGCCGACCATATACAGAGGGTTCTTATCACATTCTCCACTTTCAGCCCAATCGGGGCAATTCGGGTCCTTGTCGAGACAATCACCATTAGAGTCCGATGAGTCGTCATCAAAACGAGCATTGAAAGATCGAACGTGAATCCACTTAGTGGCTGACCACTTCTCGCCTTCAATGACTGGGCAGCTCCCGTGCAAGCTGGACGGGTCGGTTTTTGCATCCGGGTGAAGGCTGAAGAACAATAGTGCATCTCCTTTCATGGGTTTCACTGAAAAAAAAAAAAGGAAAACGTCATTTCAAGAACATGTTCGTAATTTTTTATTTATTATTTTTTTTTGGGGTCATTTTGAGTTTTGTTTCAAGTGATTTCATCAACCGTTTCTTCTATTTGATGAAAAATACAGCAAAAATTCAATGTCCAAGGGTTAACACCATGAGGTTAGAGCTAACTATGAAGAAAAAGGCCATATAGTTTCGAAAATTACTCTCTTATATAACCAGGAAAACAATTAAGGCCACCCCTTCACATTTTCAAAAATATGAATCAACTCCTTCATTTCAAATTTTATCACAGGATCAAACTTCAAGGGTAGTTATACATTGAAAAGTTCGCTGGTTATTATTTTATTTTTTTTTCTTTTTGGGTGATTAGGTCAAAGTTAGATCAAGGGAACCCGGTGTGTGGTTCATTCTCGTCTTTTAAGTGGCAAATGAATGGAAAAACTTGTCGGTATCAAGCTATTTATTTATATTTCTAACAAATGTAAGATAACTACAACTATTCTACTTCTTTCTACCAAATTTTTCAACAAAAAAAAAAAAAAAAAAAAA